GGTATGTCTTTTTGCTGATGATACTAAGATATGTAACAGGGTTGATGTTCCAGGAGGGATAAGCGAAATGACAAATGATTTAGGTAAACTAGAAAAATGGTCAGAATTGTGGCAACTGACATTTAATGTGGATAAGTGCAAGATAATTCATCTTGGACGTAAAAACCCAAGGGCAGAGTACAGAATATTTGATAGAGTCCTAACCTCAACATTTGAGGAAAGGGATTTAGGGGTGATTATTTCTGATGACTTAAAGGTAGGCAGACAATGTAATAGAGCAGGAAATGCTAGCAGAATGCTTGGTTGTATAGGGAGAGGTATTAGCAGTAGAAAGAGGGAAGTGCTCATGCCATTGTACAGAACACTGGTGAGACCTCACTTGGAGTATTGTACACAGTACTGGAGACCGTATCTTCAGAAGGATATTGATACCTTAGAGAGGGTTCAGAGAAGGGCTACTAAACTGGTTCATGGATTGCGGGATAAAACTTACCAGGAAAGGTTAAAGGATCTTAACATGTATAGCTTGGAGGAAAGACGAGACAGGGGGGATATGATAGAAACATTTAAATATATAAAGGGAATCAACACAGTAAAGGAGGAGACTATATTTAAAAGAAGAAAAACTACCACAACAAGAGGACATAGTCTTAAATTAGAGGGACAAAGGTTTAAAAATAATATCAGGAAGTATTACTTTACTGAGAGGGTAGTGGATGCATGGAATAGCCTTCCAGCTGAAGTGGTAGAGGTTAACACAGTAAAGGAGTTTAAGCATGCGTGGGATAGGCATAAGACTATCCTAACTATAAGATAAGACTAGGGACTAATGAAAGTATTTAGAAAATTGGGCAGACTAGATGGGCCGAATGGTTCTTATCTGCCGTCACATTCTATGTTTCTATGTTTCTATCGCACAGGGCCAAACACAACACAGCTATAGAGATCACACAAATCTACTCACACACGACTCATAGCTACCCTAACACTGCCACACACTTTACTTATGGCTATTTACAAACACCACATATATCTAAACACATACATCACGCACAACCACACATATCGTAGACAGCTACCCACACACTAGGGCTAGGTGATACAACTTCCACAAACTTACTGAAATACTAAATTGCTCAATCAAGCCTTGCCTGTGGTGAGCCTTGTAGAATAGATATTTATATGTCCTTTGTGTAGCTATGTCTTCTCAAAAGTTGTCTCTTTGCATTTTCCCAGTGTAGCAACCATAAATTATATTTAAGGCCACACACATAGACAACTAACCACACATCGGGAACATTGCTAGGTGTCATTAAGAACAAAAGCTGCAGTCCATTGGTAAAATATATGACTTCACCCACATATGTTGAGTTCCCCAAACCCCAAACCCACCTCTTACCACATACTATATGTCAGGATTCTATCCTGAAAACTAAGTTTATGTTTCATTTCTTTTGTTTTACTTTACTACAATACCAGCTCTCCACCACTAGTGGTCTCCCTAACCACTAACTCTGAACTTACCTTGATACATACTCACTTGCCTGGACTAATTACTTTCCTACAAAAGGATACTCCCTCCTGACAACAGGGCCTTTACAATGAAGTTGTTGGTTTACCTGAAAGACTTCAGATCCTGGTTCCTGTTATAATACCGATGGACTTACCCTCTTTAATACCTACCTATTGGAAACCAACCTACATTATCTTCCTTCTATTATCAACCAGCTCCAAACCAACCTGAGCTACTCTACAATCCAGCTTTATCTTGCCTACCTGATTTATACCAACCTGATCCATACAACCAATCTGCTCTTTACCAACCTGCATAACACCAATCTGGACTTTACTACTAACTACTATTGCAAGGTGTTATTTTCCTAAGTTAACAGTACTCCTTCCAACAGGGGGCTGATAAACTAAAGTCTACCTTACCTGTAATTGCTGATATCTTTCTGTACTGTTTTGTTCTACTTGTTTTCTCTAAAATATCTTACTTTCTTCTATAGGTTTTCTACTAATTATTTAAATCCTGTTTTATAACCGGTCTGCGACATATTTCCTAAACCTCTGTTTCTATTATTTAAACTTATCACCAATAACTCAGTTTACAGGTTCTCTTATTTTCCTTCTCCCTATATTTTCATTATAGGATTTCCTGTTATTCTATTATGTCCAAACTCAGCAATAAAAAAACCTAATGTTAACTCTGGCCAAAGTCTCATATCTGACCTGCTCAAGATCATGACACTACTGCCACACATACACACACAGATCCAGACAGAGCCGTACCTAGGTTATGGGTACCAGGGTTGGAAATATATTTTGACTAATCCCTAAAACTTTTTTTTAATGTGACTCACTATGCTCCCTAACACACTTTGGGTAGGAAAAATAAGTGTGCAAACTCACAAATATATACATATACAAATTCATATACATAGACATTCATATTTACAGATGCTTACATTCATATACACACATACATTCATATACACACACGAACACATACACACATTAATATACATAAAACACAGACTCATATGTGAACACACACATGGACACATTCTCAAACACATTCATAGACACACATACATTTGTATACTCTCTCTCTCTCTCTCTCTCTCTCTCTCTCGCATACACACATACTCACACACACACACACTCACATTTGTGACCTCAATAACCTCACCTCTCTGCCTAAACATGTCCAGCTCCATCTCTATCTCCCCCACGAGCTACCCCTCACACACACATATATATTTCAGGTGTAAAATTATTTTGTTTTACTTCTTCCTATTACCTTCAGTTCTCTATCTCTCCCTCATCTCTCTCCACATAACTATTTACTATTACTGATAATTTATATCTCACTTCCCATTTCTCCCCTCATATGTATTTCTGCCTCAGTTTGCACTTGTTTCTTTTACCTATATTTGTCCTCACCTTCCTTTAACCAGCCTTCTCCACATTGTGTTTCTCTTCCATTCCTCATACCTCACCATTTGTGTCCCTCATTCCCCCCCATCTCCTGTGTCATACCCGTTAATCTCATCAGTCTCTCTCACATTTCTGCCTCATCACCACCATCTCTCCCATGTTCATCCTTAACTATCCTTTTCACTATGTTTGTTCCCTCACTAAACTCTGCACTGTGCTGCCCATTCATTTGCCTCCTCCCTATGCCTGCCCCTCAACAGCCCCTCCTCCATATCTGCCTCCTCACTAGTATTCTGCCATGTTTCTGCCCAATAACCAGCTTAGACTCCATGTCTGTCTCTGTGAAAATGTTTTCCTCTTGTCTGCCCTTTATACATTCTCCCTTCACGTCTTCCTCCTTTGCAGTCTCTCCCCCAGTTTGTGCATTGTTAGGATAAATATTTTATAAACAATCTGCCATTTTGTAATAATCTGCCATTTTGTAATCAGGCACCATTTTGTAATTATTCATTATTTTATATTCTGATGCCATTTGTGCTCAGGCTCCATTTTCCTGTTAAACTGCTTAAAGTTAATAATTTATATAAAGACAATTTGGAATACTATATATAATTTTTAACTTGCTAGCGCAAATAACTTTTTACCCATACTCAACCCTAGACAGATGTTACCTTTCAAGTAAATACTTTTTGGGGAAGTATACTTACAATCTTTTTTTCTGGGCTTGTAAGATGGTTAATTATATTTTGGGACACTAACTTGCTGCCATGTTAAGAGTACTGTCTACGTTGTGATCATGAGTAATTTTTGTCAAATATGACAAATAAGATAATTGCTAACTCTGTATAATGTGATGTAATGCAAATCAACCAGATACCTATAAACTGATATTAAGAACAATACAATTGCGATTTGATTTGAAAACTTATTACTACGTTGTTCTATGTCAGTCATTCCCTCGAGCAAAAAATAGCCCTAACAGTACATCATGCCTCTACCAATTTTGTAGGCACCCTATAGAGTGGCCGAGCCAGATGTGCACTCTGGCTTCATCTCTGAATATTCCCTTGGCTGTTCAGCTGGGTACTGTGTGGGTATGGATGGGAGAGAATATGATTCCACCTCTCACACAGTATCTGTGCTGGAACACCTGTGAGTGCAAATCTGATGCCAGACCCAGTGCTGTATTTGCCATGAGACTAACAAGGCATTTGCCTTGGGCGGCACTTTCCAGAGGGCGGCAAACACTGCCCCAAATGCACAGGCAAATGCTTTTTTAGCTTCATTTTAAGGGGGCACAAAAACAGTCCAGCTGGCCACCTTTGGACCCCCCTGGGACAGGTAGCCAGTTTTGTCCCAGACGGGCGGAAGTGCTGACCTGTAAGCTCTTCCAGCTCAGCTACCTCGCGCATCTTGCAGTAATGCTGGTAGACGAAATATAATGATGTCACTTCGGCTCCTGGCATGATGGAGCTGAGCTAGAAGAGGTCAGCGAGGAAGCTGCCTGCTTTGCGCACCCACCCACCTGGCTGCATTCACACCTTCCTGCCTTCATGTCTTCCCAGCAGCCTCAACAGCCACATTTTTTTGTGTACATGCTCCACTAGCTTGTTTAATACACTGATATACAATTACAGCATGGCTCAAAATTTCCACTTACCACTAACCACTGACTGGTGAAAATGTAGCCCTTGTGACAAGAAAAAGAAGTGGTTGAATTCCAACAAACCAAGCAATCTTTATTGATGCAGATAATGTGTATGTTTTACATCTCTTACTACACAGATAACATGTATTATAAATGTATTGGAAATCTGTAAGGTAAAATTTGAGGTTTATGATCCATTGATTCAGAATGAGATATCATTCCATTATAGAAGATGCCAAACTATTAAAGTAAATAACTGGTAATATTACTTTACAAAAATGCTTTAATTAGGCTGAAAATATTAGCCTTCTTTCCTACTTATTTACCAGTAAACTGCATGTCTCATGCATATATGAATTTCTTTTATATATTTTATATATTTAATGACTTTCAAGTGACTCTGAAGATCAGTTCAGGAAGCTACGTCATCTGCCCCTTCAGTAGCATCTCCTAAGTCATAATCCTCTTCTTTATGTTGGCTGTTACTATTTGACTGATCTCTGGGATCAGATGAGCGCTTGTCAGATTCCTCAGAACTGATAGAACTGTTGGATTCACTGGATTCACTGGAGTCACTGCCATTACTCGATTCCATTGACTTATTCTGGCCTTTAGATTGACTTGAGTCCATAGGATCATTGTATTCACTTGAAAGACTGGAGTCACTGATATCATTAGACTCACTGGAGCTATCTGGCCAAGTAGGAGTATCTGAAACCGTGGAACCAGCTGGGGTAACAGGAGAACTGCTTGACATATCAAGCTCACCTGAATCAGTTGACTCACTTATTTCATTTGATCTACTGTGTAGACTTGACTCTGTTGAACCAGCTGGGATAACTGATTCACGCAGGCTAATGGAATTACTATTTTCACTTGAACTAACACCATTACTAGTTTCACTTGAACGAATGGCACTGATATAATCTGTAGAGTCTAACTGGCTGTTAGAGTCACTTAAACCAGTAATGCTCTGAGTTTCAAATGAATCAGTGCGGCTATCATATTCACCTGAGTCCGTCTCTTCAATAGATTCTCTTGAAACAGAGTTGCTGTTTAAGTCATTTGAATTAAGGTGGACACTAAGTTCATATGAAGAAGTTGGGTTATTATGTTGAATTGATGCTTGTGCATAGCTCGGGTCTCCATCAACATTATCATCATATGATATCTCTGAAGAAAACAAGTGGGCAATGCTCCTTTTCTTCAAATTTCCTCTACTCTTTTGTTGTATCAAAATGTCTTCAGGCATCTTATTCACATCCCTAATTTTTGATATATTTTGAACAACCTCTTTAAAAATATCTTTATTTCTGTTTTGTTTTTTTATTAATGTTTTATTTTCGTCGGCTATGTGTGTCTGTAATATATCCTTCATTTTCTTTAGATCTCTGGTTGTTTGATTGTTAAAATGCAAAATGTATTCTCTGATGTTATTTATTCTTGATTGATTTCTTTTGCCTCTGTTAAAATCAGAGTCACATTTCAGAGCTGATTCAATGACGTTCTCCTTGGTAGTATTATCCATGTCGAGTTTGTTCTGTTGATCTGATACAATCTTTGAATCAGTATCATACTGGTTGTTTCCACAAGTATTTTCTAACATTTCAGTTAATTCACTTTTATCTTTCTCCTCGTTTTGTGGAATCTTTAAAATATGAAAAACGTAAAGTTAAAATGCAATTTTTGGTTTCTATATATCAATACAAGTCGATTAACTAACAGACGGTTATGGCTTAAAACAGCAAATACACCACTTTAGTAGATTCTCAGCTTGGATTTTTAGGCATTGTTTCATTTTGCAATATATTTGCCTTCCTCTTAATCCCCTATTTAACTTTACCCTGCATCCAAATTAACTGCCTCTGCATTATCACCATCTATTCCCTTTTCATCCATACACTCTAAGCATGAGCGCCTTCCTTTCTGAAGACGCTCTTCACTTCTCACATTGCAAGACACCGGACACATCCTCTATGGCCATAGGGCTTCAAGTGTCCAGAGTAAAACATAAGTATAATGCCAACCTAGTGTCATCATCATAATGATTATCAGCAATAAATATGGAAACCTGTAAATTTAAAAGCCACATGTGACATAAAGCAGTCAGACACAAGCACTGAAGATTGTATGAATGTGACTGATATTTTCATAAGTGGCATAGTGTCAGCATTGCTCTGTGCATACAATATCACACCTTGTGCTTGTTAGTGTTCATATTTGGGAGCAATATCAGTATGTGCATGCTGGTGTTCAGTAGCTGTACATGTGTGTTTGTGCAATGTATGTTTGTAGTGTTCCTGCATAGTTGCTGTTTATGTGTGTCTGTAATGTCAGCATGTATGTATGTATGTTAGTGTTCCTCTGTAGGTGCCGTGCAGCTCCCATGATGGCCAGCCAGCAGTGGCAAACATACAGGGGTCACAGCTGCGATTGGGCCTGGCCGCCCTGCAGACCCCTGTGACCTGGTGCCCGCCACCACCAGGTGCCCATCACACGTTAAGGTGCCCATCGGATGGCCTCTGCTGTTAAGGCCACCCGGGGGCTATGGATTTCCAGGGGGCCTGGTCAGCGCTGCTGCGCTTTAACAGCACGACCGGGCCACCTAAGATGACATCACAGTTGGGAGGAAGTGAGTGCCCCTGTCACTCCTCCCAATTTGCAACGGGAGCCGCGCAGGAGGAAGAGAGGAGAGAGTCAGAGTGGAAACTCTGACTACCATCAGACTGAGCCACCACTGGACCCCAGGGAAGTCACCCTCCTGCATCTAAAAGGTAGGAGGGTGACTAAAATATTTTGTGTATGTGTGTGTGTCTGTATGAATGTTTCTCTGTATGTGTGTATGTATGTCTGTCTGTGTCTGTGTATGTGTGTGTTTGTATGTATGTGTCTGTGTGTGTGTCTGTATATAAGTGTCTCTGTGTGTGTGTTTGTATATGTCTGTATGTATGTATGTATGTGTGTGTACAGTGGCGTACATACAGGGGTTGCAGGGGTCGCAGCTGCGACCAGGCCTGTCTCTCCAGGGGGCCCGGATGCCCTGCAGACCCCTGTGACCTGGTGCCCGCTGCCATGTGGGCCCTATGGATCGTATGTACGCCACTGCCAGCCTTATGAGTTAACTGAGTACTCTATGTACTGTAGAACATTACATTTTTAGAGATCAAGCCCTTCAGGTGTTTGTAAGTTACCAATACCATGATGCCCTACCAGGCTTATCGTTTGGCTGAGCATCATGGGAATTTTATACATACATTTTTATAAACCTTATAAATGTCCTTAAGTGTCCTCTGAGCTCCTTCTTGTTTAGCTTTCTTTCCCGCTTAGTAATATCTCCGTAGGCCGAGCCCACCCAATAGTTACATCTTCCACTTCAGGTACTGTCTCCTTCCTCCCCAGTGGTTTTCTCTCCTCCATCTTCACCAGTTACTCATCTGCTACTTAAATTTCAGTGGTTTTCCCTTTTTCACAGTTTCTTTATCGAGATGTCTTCTCCCATATTTTTTTCATGATATTGCCATTCACACTTTAGGAGTAGTGATGTCGTGAACATAAAATTTTTGGTTCGCGAACGGTGAACGCGAACTTCCGCAAATGTTCGCAAACCGGGCGAACCGCCATAGGCTTCAATAGGCAGGCGGATTTTAAAACCCACAGGGACTCTTTCTGGCCACAATAGTGATGGAAAAGTTGTTTTAAGGGGACTAACACCTGGACTCTGGCATGCCGGAGGGGGATCCATGGCAAAACTCCCATGGAAAATTACATAGTTGATGCAGAGTCTGGTTTTAATCCATAAAGGGCATAAATCACCTAACATTCCTAAATTGTTTGGAATAACGTGCTTTAAAACATCAGGTATGATGTTGTATCGATCAGGTTTGGTCTGTCATCACTTCACAGTGACAGACCAAACTCCCCGTTTAACGCACCGCAAACAACCGCAAACAGAGGTGGCTCTCTAATTAGGCGGTTTAGGTGGCCGCCTAAGGCCTCGCGCTGGCTGGGGCCTCGTGGCCGCCTAAACCGCCTTATGGCAGACTGTGTCAGGTCCTCGGTCAGTGACCGAGGACCTGACACCAGGAGGGGGCCCGGCGGCTTGCCCGGTATGCCGCCGGGTGCGAGGCCCCTCCTGGCTGCCCGGCCACCATCGCAGACACAGGTCTGCAGCTCCGCAGTGAGCAGAGCTGCAGACCATGTGTCTTGCAAGAATTGGCCAATCAGAGCGTTGCCGCGGGTTACCACGGCAACGCTCTGATGGTCTTGCGATATTACACGGTCTGCAGCTCTGCGGAGCTGCAGACCGGAAGAAGTGGCCACTGAAACACCAGGGAAGAGATGGTAGGCTCCCTCACCACCCTCAGCCTCCCCCCACCAGCCTCACCACCCTCAGCCTCCCCCCCACCAGCCTCACCACCCTCAGCCTCCCCCACCAGCCTCCCCACCCCCCACCAGCCTCACCACCCTCAGCCTCCCCCCCACCAGCCTCACCACCCTCAGCCTCCCCCACCAGCCTCCACCACCCTCAGCCTCCCCACCAACCCCCCCCCCCACCCACCCTCAGCCTCACCACCCTCAGCCTCCCCCACACTCAGCCTTCCCACCCCCACCAGCCTCACCCCCTCCAGCCTCCCCCACCAGCCTCACCCCCCACTCAGCACTCACCCCCTCAGCCTTCCCACCCCCACCAGCCTCACCACCACCCTCAGCCTCCCCACCCGAAGCTAAGCTGGAGGAGGATGGTGCGTCAAGGTTCCGAGCGGAAGCTGCAGAAGATTGGGTGTCCTGTGTTAGCCAGCCAACTATGTCCTCAGAACTTTTCGAGTTCAGGGTACTAAGCCTCTGAACACTGGGCATTATTCTAGAGCCAAAGGGAATCACAGCACCACGACCACGACGGCCCCTGCGGGGTGGCCTGCCTCTGCCTGTCATTTTTTTTCGATTAGTGGTACTATGCGTGCAAGCTACTGTGACAACAGATATGAGTGGCACTGTGCAGTGGCAGAAGTTGGCAGAGTAGACGCTGTAGGCCTGACTCACACACACTTGCAGACAACTAACTGCTATTCAATCTATTACAGTCAAAACATTTTTTTTTTTTTAAATGTACACTACTGTTACACCAGATATGAGTTACACTGGTGTGACATTGTGCCCTGGCAGGCCCTGAAACGCACACGTGTGAAGGAAACTGACTACTATTATATTACAGTCCAAAAAGTTTTTTTTTTTTTTTTTAAATGCAAGCTATTGGGACACCAGTGAGTGAGTGGTGGCACTGGGCAGACCCTGAAATGCACACTCGTGAAGGAAACTGCTATTATATTACAGTCAAAAAAGTTTTGTTTTTTTTAAATGCAAGCTATTGTGACACTAGTGAGTGAGTGGTGGCACTGGGCAAGTGGGCACAGTATATGCTGTGAGCCTGACACACAGGCTGGCAGGCAGGCAACTGCAATTACATTACACAGAAAAAAAAAGCAGACTGATGTTCTAGCCCTGTCCTTACAGCAGAGATCAGATGAGTCCTTCAGGACTGTAGTGGACACTGAATACACTAGTCTCACTATCAATTTCCCTATCAAATCAGCAGCAGCTACACTGTCCCTCCTCTCACTAAGAATGCAGCTTCACAATGAATGTAAAATGGATGCTGTCTAGGAGGTAGGAGGGTCTGGGATGGAGGGTCTGCTGCTGATTGGCTGGAATGTGTCTGCTGACTGTGAGGTAAAGGGTCAAAGTTTACTCAATGATGACGAATAGGGGGCGGACCGAACAGCGCATATGTTCGCCATCCGTGGCGAACGCGAACAAGCAATGTTCGCCAGGAACTATTCGCCAGCGAACCGTTCGGGACATCACTATTTAGGAGTAATTTCATTCTTTCTTGTGTAACCTATCACTCATAGGGGGAAGCTCTAATACTACATTTGACAACCAATGTATTTCCATCACATCTTGTTCATGCATCATGCATCATTAGATGTTCTGCTTCTTTATAATATCTCCATTCACTTTCAGTTCTGTAATACAGTGGGACCTCGGTTTACAAACGACTCGGTTAACATAGTTTTCGGTTTACAAATGAAAATTCATTGAAAATAATGCCTCGGTTTACAATTTTTTTTTTCGCAATACAAAGCAAGTTTCCCCAGGATGCATTGCACCTGGGAGGTTTATAGCACCACACACTGCATGCTGGAGCCTTGTCACGTCGAGTGTGGAGGTGTTGAGCGGCTTTTGCATCGAGTTTTGGAGCCATTCTGGAAATTGTTTGCAGTTGTTTTGGGACTTTTTGGTGCATTTCTCAAGAAGTGGAAAGGTAGGGAGCTGAGCTTCGTTGTTTGCATGCCTTTTATTCTGTGTTCTGCATTGTGGGTTGGTTTCCATGTCAGCTCATTTTGACTTTTTTCTGACCTCCAGAACGGATAAATTGGTTTTCAATGCATTCCTATGGGAACCGCATTTCGGTTTACAAATTTTTCACAATAAGAAACGACCCAGAGAACGCATGAAATTCGTAAACCGAGGTCTCACTGTACTTTCCATAAACTCCTAACCTGTAAACTTATAATTCTTCCTTAATTATCTATGTCCAATGTCCTT